AATTTATATTATTATTTATGTATATAATAATTAAACTAAATTTAAATTTGGTTAAATTACATTATTAATTCATAAAATTTTAGTGAGATTTCATCTTCATACCTATAGTTTTAAATGAAAAACAACACGTGAAAAATCAGAAAAATCAAAGTAGTTTTTGGCTATTATTATTATGAGGTGTTTTGAGAAGTTAGTAAAAAATTACTTTTTAACTTTTTGCCACTTTTACAAAGTGATTTGAAAAGTTGGTAAAAAGTTATTTTTTGACTTTTTAAATTAATATTTATTTATGATGTTACATCATAATCAAATGATCAAAATATCTCATCCAAATTAAGAAATTTACTCTCAAGTTGTAAATATGAAGGGTAGTCTTGTAATTTCACAGCTTGCATTTTATGGTCTTACCAAATAATCAGCCCGCCTTTTCAGCTCGCTATGGGCTACGTTTTTGAGCTGCAAAACGCAGCTTTTTTTAAGTTCCCAAATCACCACTATTTGTCAATTGATAAGAGAATGTCTATAATATAAAAATTATTTGTCAATTGATAAGAGATTGTATATAATATAAAAATAATTCTATCTAAATAATCACAGTCCAATAACTGAAAAAAAAAAAGGCTCAACGACCAACCAATCTTAAGAAATGACCTTGAACAATAATAATAATATAAATAAAATAAAATAAAAAACCCTCATTAAAAAGAGAAATTATTAACTTTTGCATTTAGCAAAGTTTGACCGACCTCATTGATAGAATTCATGTATTATTGATTGATGTGTATTGATTGATGTGTATATTGTGTATATTACAAGGATTTATATAGGAGAGGATTTGGGAGTAAGTGAAGGTGGTAGTGGAAGTGGTAGGTGGAGTGGGTGGTAGTGGAGGTGGTAGGTGGAGTGAGTGGTAGTGGTAATTTATATTTACACAATTTACATTAACAGCCCTCCTCAAACTCAAGGAGGATAGGCACTAGCCAACTTGAGTTTGGAGAGAGTCACAAAACAGAAAAATAAACTAATAAATAAAATAGGATAGGAGACACGGTATGGTCGTGTCAGACCGATGTAGCAGACAGTTTATGGGGTCATGTCGGACCGTTGTAGCAGACAGTTTACGGGGTCATGTCGGACCGTTGTAGCAGATTGTGGTGGTGCACCAAGGGGGTGACTTAGGGAGTGCGCCATGAGCGACTTATACATGATACTGGTATAACCCCCCCTCAAACTCAAATAGGACAGTTTATGGGGTCATGTCGGACCGTTGTAGAAGACAGTTTACGGGGTCATGTCGGACCGATGTAGCAGGACAGTTTACGAGGTCATGTCGGACCGATGTAGCAGGACAGTTTACGAGGTCATGTCGGACCGATGTAGAAGGTTGTGGTGGTGCACCAAGGGGGTGACTTAGGGAGTGCGCCATGAGCGACTTATACATGATACTGTGTTCATGTATTATTGATTGATGTGTATTGATTGATGTGTATATTGTGTATATTACAAGGATTTATATAGGAGAGGATTTGGGATTGGGAGTAGGTGAAGGTGGTAGTGGAGGTGGTAGGTGGAGTGGGTGGTAGTGGAGGTGGTAGGTGGAGTGAGTAGTAGTGGTAATTTACATTTACACAATTTACATTAACACTCATGATCTGATAAATAGAAGTGTATAAGAATGATGAATTGAACTAATACAATTGGGTGACTTTAAGTGGAATCATAAGGCTATGTATATATAATTTATTAATGTATCTTTTTGGTCACAAATTGTTAAAATGTTCATACCAGTCCTTTTTTTTTGGGGCAGGGCGGGGCGGGGTGGGACCAATCGGATAAAAGTAATTATAAATATGAAATTTTATTATATTAAATTAGATAATAAAAAAATTATGGGAGATTTATTTATAAGTCCTTTTTCAGATACTTATGCTAGGCTAAGTCCTGTATAATTTCTTATTGAGTTTCAAGTCTCATTTAGATAGGAATGTATTTCACAAGATCCTACGTAAACGTAACGTGACGTGACACTTACATAAACGTGACGTGACGTAACATGATATCTACATAAACGTAACGTAACGTGACACTTATATAAACGTAACGTGACACATATACGTAACGTGTTACCTACATAAACATAAACGTAACATGACACCTACATAAACGTAATGTAACGTGTCGCATTACGTTTCGCAAACTTAATGAGTTTTTATTTTTTTAAATTGAATGTGAAAATGTTGTTGGTTTATGTTGGTGTCACGTTACGTTTTATATAAATATGATCTATAGTAATATTCAATTACGTTACCATAGATCATAGGTATGACATTATGTTTATGTAGGTATCACGTTACGTTACGTTTATGTAGATATGATCTATGGTAACATTCAATTTCACAGAATGTTACCATAGATCATAACTGTCACGTTACATTACGTTTATATAGATATGATTTATGGTAACATTCAATTTCCTATATATGGTTTTACTATTATTTATGATATTAACAACTAATATTGAAGGCAAATGTATCAACAAACTTCTCACAGGACTTATAGAAACATAAGTTTTTTAGTAAGACTATATATAGCATGAGTCTTCCTAATAAGACTTATAAATAATTTTTTCAAAAATTAATAACAGCCAGAACACTAATAATTACCAAGCCCAACAAGAAATAACTCAAATTTGAGGAGAAATAAGAACTATAAAAGTTGAACTTACAACTTTATACTACAAAGCGGTACTACATAATCATTAAACTAAATGCCTTAATTCACACCACCGAATGGTTGGTTCAATGGGTTAATATTTGAATTTTATCAGTTAATGCTTGGGTTTAAATTTTTATAGTCACTTGATACAATTAAACTTATTCTTCCAGACCCACATCATGTGGTGGGACTTTAGTTTCGGCCAACACAGGTGCAATGAGATCTCTTGCAAATTGTTATATGGTATTAAGGAAGAGGATAAATTACAAATATATTTCTTAAAATTTGTTTGAAATACAAATTATTTCATGTGATTTGAAAAATTACAATTACTCCCTTATTAGAATTTTTTATTTAACAAAATTAATTAAAAAAATAAAATTCATAATTGTTATCCTATGCAATAATAAAATTACCTAAATTATTAATTAAAACATATTTTTAATATCATTAAAAATCATTAATTGATTTGATGATTTATTAATAAAAGAGACGATTTATTATGAAATTAGAAATCACAGGGATGGAATATAATTTTGAAAACTACAGGAAATGATTTGTATTTTAATTAAATCTCAGAGAATGTATTTATAATTTATCCTAAGGAATAATCGAATACATGGAATAAGGTATCTACATTTCAATTTGATAAATCAAAAAAAAAAAAAAAACATGTGGTTCACATGAGTCTTTTGTGGATTTTTTCATCTCAAATATTACCAGACAATTGACGGAAGATCACATCCATATCTATACTATACATTAAGTGAAAGGGAGTTTTTAACCCCAAACTTTGTGGGAGTTCCAATCTCTCAATCTAAATTTTTTAATTTTTTGATTTAAAAAAAAAAATCTTAGCATTTATTAACTTCTTCTAACTCCCAAGTCTTACCCTCATAATAACACTTTAATGCATTAAGAACAAGTATAAAAAAAATTCTTTGAAATTCAACACATATGAATTCCTTGAAAAGTCTCAACACATATGATTATTATCTCTCATAATAACAATTTAATGCATTAAGAACAAGTATAAAAAAAATTATTAAAAAGTCCAACACATATAATTATTATCAAAATATTAAACTTTAATATAATAAAATAATAAAAAAAACATTTAATTCATTGAAAAGTCCAACACATATGATTATTATCAAAATATTAAACTTTAATATAATATGAAAATGAAAAAAAAAAAGACATTTAAAAAAAAATATTTAAAAATCACAATTCACAGCTCCAATCTCCTAACCTTAATTTTTTTAATTTTTTATTTAAAAAAAACTCAGCATTTATTGATTTGGTCAAAATCTCCTGATCAACATTTATTAACTTTTTTTTAATCCACATGTCTTTCCACATGCCTGCATTTATTGATTTGGTCAAAATCCCTAATCAGCATTTAAAATCTCTTCATACAAATAATTATAGATATAACCCGTGCATAGTTACTGCAGTAGCCTTTTTAATTTCTCATATACACCATGGTTAGTGATAAGATTGTTAAATTATTTTTATAAAAAATCTTGAAAAACATAATTTATAGATTAAAAAAAATTTAAAACAAATATAAATATCTATAATTATCCCGTGCATAGCACAGGTGATAGGCTAGTTATATATTAAGCAAAAGGGAGTTTTTAACCCCAAGCCTTATGGGAGCTCCAATCTCTCAATCTAAATTTCTTAATTTTTTGATTTTAAAAAAAAAATTCTTAACATTTGTTAACTTCTCCCAACTCCCAAGTCTTACCCTCATAATAATACTTTAATGCATTAAGAACAAGCATAAAAAAAATTCTTTGAAATCCAACACATGAATTCTTTGAAAATTCCCAACACATATGATTATTATCACTCATAATAACACTTTAATGCATTAAGAACAAACATAAAAAAATTTCGTGAAAAATCCAACACATATGATTATTATCAAAATATTAAACTTTAATATAATATAAAAAAGGAAAAAAAGAAGACATTTAAAAAAAAATATTTAAAAATCACAATTCGCATATATAGATAATTATAAAAACAATCCGTACATAACACGGGTGATATGCTAATTAAAATATAATTAAAAGTATGAAAATTAAATTGATGATATTAAAATTACAAAACTCAAAAAAAAAATCTAGCTAAAATTAGAGAGACAGACAGATAATGCAATTTATCTTTTTTTATTTTTTTTATTTTTTTATTTTTTTGCTTTGTTTGTTTTAGGTAGAGTACAACTCAAATACATAACAAAATGAGACAAAAAGAAGATATAAATGGATGGAGTTGGAGATAGAACTGACATCTGCAGAAGTTGAGGCTGTTTTAGTTTTTGCATCCCAAAAGGGCGCAGCTATGCACAGCAAACGTTTTATCCTCTTAATAAACAAACAAACAAACACCAGCTAATCTTTTCCTCACTTAAAATGCTTTAATTGCATCATCAACCAAACAACTGTAGGTCATTCCATCTCTTTCGTACCAACCCAACCCCTCTCTCTCTGTCTCAAATCAAACCCTTTCTCTCTCCTCTCTGTCTCTTCTTTCCTAAATCTTCCCCAATTTCAGTCTCCCTCTAAAGCTTCCACAACCCACTTCGATCTTTCACAGCTTTTTCACGCCCTCATTTTTTCTGGGTTTGAATCGAATAACCCAAAAAAGTACTCAAAAAATGGTGATTGTGGGATTGGTATGAATGAAAATTCACAAAATGGTGATTGGGTTCATGGTCATGACTCGTTTCGCTTCATCATCATCATCTTCTGGGTTGTCTTTACTATTGAGCTCCTTTGATCTCGATGTTGCTGCTGAATGTCGATTCCAATTGCGCCAGCGATCGGCATTGAAGTGCTATTCTATTGCCTCCGAAACTTTCTTCGATCACCTCCGCATTCATTTTGGATTTCTCTAATTAGGCTTTGGAAACAGTTTGTTTTTCTCTTCTTCTCGCTTTTCCTGCTAGGTGTTTGTTTATTTGCCGGAATGAATTCCGGGAATGGTTCGGGTATGCCTTATTCCGGCAATAGTTTGAAAAGCATTTGTTTGTTTGGCGCCGCAGAGCCTCCTACCGCTGATGAAGATTATGTAGAGAAAGACCCGAGAGCTCGATACGTTCGGGTAATCTACTATATTTGGATATTTGATTTGGCATTGTAATTGGATTGGCTTGTTCTTGCTACTAAAATTTGAATTTGGTATAATTTGTGATTCTATTACATGTTCTTATGAGTTTTTCCTTGATGGGTTATATTTGAAATCTTGATTTGGCATTGTATTGCATTGGTTTATTCTTGTAACCAAAATTTGAATTTGGAATAATTTGTGATTTTTTTTTTTTTTTTTGCTTCTTTTTTCTAATATATGTTCTTTTGAGTTTTTCCTTGATGGGTCATGTTTGTATTGGAGCTGCAATGCTGAATTTATTACTGTTGTCGAATTGAACCTCGTGCTCTTGTACATGATGTAATTCACTCTGGTTAATGTTTGGCATTGTCTTAGAATACTGCATTACATGGTTGCCATTATTCCCTTCTTTTCTTTGTCAATTTTTTTTCTCACTTTTCATATGTATTGACATTAGTTCTTTATATGCTGTTTGGTTATTGAGAAATTGGAAGACCTCAGGGACAAAGGTTTAAGTTTTCCAATAAAAAATATTCAACTCAAACAAGAATGTATAATAGTTCACAAAAAAGGAGAAAGAAAAAAGAATGTATATGATTTTGTGACAAGAGTTCAGTTGATAATTCTGGCTTAATAAGAAACTAAACAGCAGTCAAATGTGAGACTTACGGTTTCCACTCCTTTTCTTGTCCTTGCTCTTCTAGGCAACCGCCCTCTCAACAGTAAAAAATTCTGATTAGATTGACCAGCCATATAATGTTCATATCAGAGTTGTTAATTTATTGCATTTAACCCTTATTCATTTGGCACTGATTTCTTTCTTGTAATTTTTTGCTCTTTGACAGTACAATGAAATCTTGGGCAAGGGTGCATTCAAGACTGTGTATGGATCTAAACTTAAAATCTTTCATTTGTTTTTTCGCAATTCGTTGCGTTAACTATAGTCCAGATGTTAATCCTTTTCTGAAAGAAGCTTTCATTAACTCTGTTTGTAGCTACAAGGCATTTGATGAAATTGATGGAATAGAAGTTGCTTGGAACCGTGTGAAGATTGATGATGTGGTGCAGTCGCCAGAACATTTGGAAAAATTGTATTCCGAAGTCCATCTTCTTAAAACATTGAAACATGAAAATATCATCAAATTCTATGATTCATGGATTGATGATAAGAAGAAGACCGTCAACATGATCACAGAGCTCTTCACATCTGGGAGTCTGAGGCAGTAAGTTCTCTTGATTTTTTTCTCATTTGTTTGTTTTAACTGGAAAGTGTTCTTGAATTAATCATGTAAATTGCCTATCAGATACCGGAAGAAACACAAAAGCGTTGATATGAAGGCTATAAAGAATTGGGCTAGGCAGATTCTCCGAGGTTTAGACTATCTTCATTGTCAAAATCCGCCAATTATCCATAGGGACTTAAAATGTGATAATATTTTTGTTAATGGAAACCATGGAGAAATTAAAATTGGAGACCTTGGATTGGCAACTATTATGCAGCAGCCTACCGCTAAGAGTGTTATTGGTAAGAGTTAATTCCTTTAATTGATTTATTTTGAACAAATAACTTTGCTTTGAGTGTCAACTCTTTCTGTTTTCTTTATTAGGAACTCCTGAATTTATGGCTCCAGAGCTGTATGAGGAGGAATATAATGAACTGGTGGACATATATTCTTTTGGGATGTGCATGTTGGAAATGGTTACATTTGATTATCCTTATAGTGAGTGCAAGAATCCAGCTCAAATCTATAAGAAGGTTACCTCGGTAAGTTTGCTTATCTTTGGTTTCATTATAATTATTTTCTAGTTGGTAGAAAATTCTGATTCATTTATGCTGTAGATTAACTTAATTAGCCAAACCACGTTAAATTTTGGTGTCTTCTTATGGTGATGGTTCTTGGCTTTGTATTTATTTTTTGGTGGTAATTACACCAACAATTTAAATGACAATCCAATAATGTGTTGAATTGCAGGGTATTAAACCGGCCTCCCTTAGCAAGGTGAATGATCCTGAAGTTAAGCAATTCATTGAGAAATGTCTGGTTGCGGCGTCTCAAAGATTGCCCGCCAAGGAACTTCTTAAAGATCCATTTCTTCAATCTGAGACTCTAAAGGTGGCCATTTGTGATCCGTTGCAGTTACCTAACCAACTTCCCCGATCATTAAGTTTATTGAACTCTGGGCCTCATTCCATGGAAATTGATCCAGACTATAACCACTCCGTATGTACAGACTCCAACGGTTGGAGTCCTTGTTTTCCAGTTGTTGAATTCCAGAGGGTGCACCAGAACAATGAATTTAGGTTGAAGGGGATAAAAAATGATGACAACTCAGTATCATTGACCTTGCGAATTGCTGACTCGGGTGGTAAGTGGATGGCCATTAACTTGTTGATTGTTGTACTAGTTTCATACCAAACCAAACTAAGCCTTGTGTCCCAAACAAGTCGGGTTGTGCACATGAATCAGTTTTTGCCATTCAGCTGTATCATGGTCTATATGCTCAGTCAGCCCTTGTATTTACGCGTATATTCATATTAGGATTCATGTTCATAAGGGATCTAATGATAATTTTTACATGCTGTCTGTCAGACTACCTAACACACAACCCTCCTCCTTTATCCGGGCTTTGGGACTGGCTGTATAAAAGATTAAACAATAAGCATTACACGAGCAGAGTCGAACAGTTGTTTCGTAATATAATAATATATCATTGTTTTCTTACTTGCAGGCCGAGTAAGGAATATACACTTCCACTTCTACCTTGATACTGACACTGCACTATCGGTTGCGGGTGAGATGGTTGAACAATTGGACTTAGCAGATCATGATGTGGCATTTATTGCTGAGTTAATTGATTACTTAATAATGAGAATTCTACCTGGATGGAAACCTTCATCAGATTACAACTCAAGTGGAATGAGAAGTACATGTGTAGGTTCTCCAAGACTTGGCAATGATCTAAACTCAATGCCAAATCCATGGGATACAATGCTAACCTGTCGTCCACCAGATGGATTCTCTAAGTTGAATACAAGACCCGGAGAAGGTTATGTACAAGCCAACGAAGCTACCTTGCTTAACAACTCTGATTGTGCTACTCCTCGTGCTGTACATAGTAGGTCTCCGAGTTTGGCAAACTTTGAAGATGACGAGTCGCAAGCATCAGCCGCTTCCGAGGTGATGTCACAAGATGTTTCTACAAAGAATGATAAACTGAGTGGATCTGTTGAGTTTGTCATTGATGAAAGCTCGAAAGCCTTTAGTGGGTACAGCTCTGAGATGGAATTCAGGGATTTATACTACAATGATTTTGAATTTCAGGGAAATTTTGGTTCTGAAGAATTCACACCGATGAATGAATTGAGGAAGAGCTCTGAATTGTCCTTTGTTGATTTAAGCGGACCTTCTAAAGTCATGAGCTTGACAAGTTGTTCATCTTTGTCCTTGTCGGAAAAAGATCAGGATGTTGATCTTAAGTTGGAGCTGGATGCAATTGATGCACATTATCAGCAATGGTTTCAAGAACTCACGAGGATGAGGAAGGAAGCGATGGAGGCCACCAGGAAGAGATGGATGACGAAAAAGATGGCGGTACAATGAACGTGAATATATTATTTTATATTTTTTCATTTAATTTATTTACTTGGGGTGTGGAAGATGTTTCTTTGTGATCTGCAACTTCCATTAACATTGTTACATTTGGATTTCTTTGTATGTTTTATGATTTGGAACCTTCATGTGGTGGATGTGGCTTCCTTTTGTAGAACTCATTACCCCTTTCTGTAATTAGAGAGGGAAGGTTAAGCTAACCCTAGTTTGAGAGTGTATATATAATTGTCCATTTCATTCATTGTTTACCTCACACAACTGTTCTTCATCATCTTTTTACAAGAGCATTGCTTAATTGGTTGCTCTAAACAGTGATGTGTTTCCATTTAAACTCTGGTCCATTTTCTAGTGATCATTAGCAGATCATGACGTGGCATTTATTAGTGAGTTAATCGAATACCTGAACACACACTGGCATATGTTTTTCTGAGTGAAATTCATAGAATAATAAATGAAATCTACTGGCTTACAAATATGCATTCAATCTTTGAAGAAAGACTTGTGGGTATTAAACCCTTATAACTTACAAGCCAAGTTTCTCATCTAATCTAATTAATATAAGTTTTGTTGTTTTTTGCTTTTGTTTTCTATTAGAGGATTGAATTCTTTTTCTTGATGGAGTGGGTAAACCAATGACCAAGTAAAATATGGTTATGACTCTTATTATTTTGAAGACATCTACATCATGGTGTAATATTTTAATATAGAATATGTCTAAGAACATAGAATTAAACACAAAATATATATCAATGAATAAATTTTTTTAGATGTAAATCTAACCGACAAATATTGTAAAATTTTATCTATTCATATATATTTTCTCTGCTCAGTTCTATGATCAATTTTTGTGTTCGTAACAGAACTGCTTAATATAATGCATTAATCTCTTTTAGGGGACCCTTCAATCAATCTTATCAGCATCCACCCCCATTGTTTATATCATTTCTCTCTTTGGAATCTTTCACTCTATCTTTTATTTTTAGTTCTATTTGTTTGATTAGATTCTTCCCTAATCATTGATCCCACACACTACTAAATTCAATCTTTCATTGGTCTTAAAGTCTGTTTCAAGGTTGATTTTCAGGCGATTGTTTCTGGGTTTAAGTTCTGGTATTCAATCTGGGTTACGAGTTTGAATCTCAGTTTGATCTTTCATAATTTTTAGCAAGAACACTGGGGTGGTTGATGGAGGAATTTGTTGGTCCCAGGTTGTACAGCTGCTATAAACGTCGAAACCGTGTTGCTCTTCATGATGACATTATTTCCAAAGGTTTTCAGGTGAAGTACCCACGTTTTGATTGATAGTTTTGAAGTTTCAATATGCTAATGCATATTTTTTATCTAAACTTGAAGCAAAAATGCATCTGTATTTAGAAAATATACTCAAAATAGTGTTGAGTTTGAGTGTATGTTGTAAATTTAAATGTGGTACGAGTGTTGATCAGATCCAGTATGAATCTATTTGAAACATACCAAATTCTGAATACATTTTCTGATTTTATTTTTTCCCTTCATACATGATAAACAAGCTCATACATTTAGCCTCTTATTTTTCTGAATAATTTTTTAGAAAGAACGAATATACCAGACAAACTTATACGTTTAGTTCAAAGTATGAAACCTTGGAGTAAACAAAATAGTAATTAGATAGGAAAGTTGTAACCACATCTTTGTTTTTGGATTTAACACTGCCATGGGATAGTAATATATTTTTCTTTTAATTAGTAAGACATAAATTATAAATATTACGAGAATTTGTTGTCAGGCCAAAAACAGACGAGCATTTCTATTCTCTCATGCAACCAACATTGTTGTGGGTCCTAAAGAGGACCGACATCTTATGACTGGTCTCCACACGGTTGCCGATGTACACTGCTCCGATTGCAGAGAGGTGCTGGGCTGGAAGTATGAAAGAGCCTACGAGGATTCTCAAAAATATAAGGGAAAATTGTGCTAGAAAAATTCAAGATTGTGAAGGAGAATTGGTAAGTTTGTGTGCAAGAAGAAGGCCCTGAAGGACTTGTTGATGCGAAAGCCGCATTTTTTTTTTCATCGGTGAAAAGTCACATGTTGTTGAAAGAATTCTCATCAATTGAATGATTTAATGATTATTTGTCAAATGGTTAACGTTATTGTACAAATTAAGAATGCTCATTATTGTATGTCTATGCACATTGAAGATGGAAAATCATTTTGCTTCCTCTAATTTCTTGATGTGCAGATTGACTCGAGCACCATAGCCGATCTACGTAAATAATGATGGTTGCATTGCAGGTCAGCTTTGATAACGGAGTCAATCTAAGAAGCATTGCTCTTCTTGTTTACGTTCCCTTATTGTTTTTCTTTGAGAAAAACCAACTTCAATAAGCTTGCTTGCTTGCTTGCTTTTATGTGATGATATATGTAGACTGGGGACCTATCATACTTCTATTTTAGTAGCTAGTTGGTCCAAATTGTTCGAATTTGTGCATGTTGGTCGACTGTCCAGATGTCCTCTTAGACAACCGGTGCAACACTTGTATACCGCGGTTGTCACCCTATCGACCACGACTATCACTTGATTGCCAGACAACCAGCAAGTCAAAATTTGAGTCCTTCGAGCAAACTCAAATTCAAATTACGTAGCATTGTTGAATTGATAGCAAAGAAAATTTGATATGTCAGAGCAAGAAAATTAAAGAGAAATTTTCATTGCCCCAGTGCAGACTTGGAAATCTTACATTCAAATCCTTTAATTGATACCTTTGTTGGATTGTCCTCATGTGTGTGTGAATGTGACTAATCTTTTCTTTTCTTTTTTTCCTTAAAAGGTCCTTTTTTTTTTTTTCTAAAATAATTGACACAAGTGATTTTTGCTTTTCAATAAATGTTCGAATGTTCACTATTCTTAACATTGTGTTTAGTTGATATATTAATTGGTTCACTAATTGACATTAATAGCATTACTCGTTCTTTTAGAGTAATGTTATAAATACTAACTAGTATACCAACTAACACACTAACTAAAATATAAGCATTTACTTATTCTTTTAGAGTAATGCTACAACTACTAATTAGTATATTAACTAAAATACTAAAGTAAGAAACAAAATATACATATAAATTTCATCAATTAATATGAATCTCACCTAATATTATATCTAATTGATACACTAGATAATGTAGGTAGCATTACTCCATTTTTTATGATCATAGTAAACTTATTCAATCCAGTATGAAACCGTATTAAATTTTATAATTATTAGTGAAAAACCTGCTATGCACGAAAATATTAATAAAATGTTTTTATATAAAATAATATAAATAATTAGATTTTTGTATGTAAATTATAAAAATAAAAGTAAAAATATTGAAATCTACAATTTAAGTTTAACAATTTTATCACAAATTATGTATCAATTTTTAATGGTGCATTTACATATAAGTCCTAATTTGTGAACTTATAATCCATTACGTCCTAACTAATATTTTTTAGATCTTTAAGTCTCATTAAATTTTTAATAGTCGGAATTGCCCTTCAAATAATGATTGTTTATCATTTATAATTATCTATAAAAGAACATGATAATTTGACATTTATTTTGATTTTCGAAACTTTAAAATATCAAGTTTCAAATTGAAAAAACTAAAAAAAATTATGTGAAAAAAAAAACTTTTTTAAAAAAAAATTGAATTATTTTTTTATGTAAAATTAAAAATTTTGTATCTATACATGATGATAGAACATTGATGGAAAAAAAAAAAACTTTAAAAATGAAAACTGATAATGTTCTCAGTTTTAACATTTAAAAAAAATGTTCTCGGTTTTATTAGATAGTTGAATCAAACCAATAAGTAACATGCTCTGTTTTTTTATCAGTTAGTGAAACAATTATCTTAAATATTACTGTGCAAAATTGATAATTTTCTTGATTTTAAAAACTGATAAAAAACTGATAATATTCTCATTTTTACTAAATAGGACTTATTCATTTAAAAAATCTTAAATAAGATCTAAGCTACCATAACATTTGTAAATAGAACTTTTAAGTAATTAACTCATTTTTAATTTGTCACAATTTCAATTATGTAACTTTCAACCCCCTTGCTAGAGTTACAAACTCTAGCAAATTCAACCCAAGCAACTCGAAGCAAGCTTGAAATTTTTTAAAGATTGGCAACATAATTTTTAATTTTATGAAGACCTATGTAAAATTTAAAAATTTGAATAAATTTGAGTGGACTTTGTCAAAGATATCAAATAACCTCAGCATTGAAATAAAATTGTATATATAAATATATAAAATTATTTGCTAATTTAGTTTTTAATAATAAATAAGATTCATTAAAATTTTAATATTAATGAACTTTTAAGTAATTAACTCATTTTTAATTTATCACAATTTCAATCATGTAACTTTCAACTCCCTCGCTAGAGTTGCAAACTCTAGCGAATTCAACCCAAGCAACTCGAAACAAGCTTGAAATTTTTTAAAGATTGGCAACATAATTTTTAATTCGATAAAGACCTATGTAAAATTTAAAAATTCGAATAAATTTGAGTGGACTTCATCAAAGATATCAAATAACCTCAGCATCGAAATAAAATTATATATATATAAAAAATTATTTGTTAATTTATTTTTTTAATAATAAATAAGATTAATTAAAATTTTAATATTAATGAACAAAAGCAAAAGCAATATGCTTAAGTTTCTTCAATAGAAATTTTTTTTTTATGTTTAAAAAAATCACTTTTTAGAAAGGAATCATCGAATAAGTTAATATTAAAAAAATTATATTTTATAAATTCATAAAATAATTTAAATATAATAAAATTAAATTTCTTACAAAATAAAAGTATCTTGATAAAAAATAAAAATAAAAAAAAGATAACAAAAAAATTAGAATGGTATTCTCATTTGATCTAAAAATAATTCTAGATGACCAATAAATTATCACCTATAATCCTCATTTTTTTAATAAAAAAATATTTCACAAACCACCACTTTTAATAGAAAAATAACATTTATTTCTATTTGTTTTAGCAAAAGTCACATTTTAGTAATTTGAGCCAAAAAAGATTTTATTTTTTATTTTAGTTTGTTTAATTGGCAATTGTGATTAAAAAAATGAACAGGATCCACCATATTTCGTAGGTGCTAAAAAAGTTTAGGCGAGCAATAAGGCTTTTTTTTTTTTTTTTTGAATAATAAGGAAAATGTTTGACCCACAAAAAACCAAAAATGATTTGGACCACTAAACAAAGACCTCTAATGCATCTCTAATTTGTCTTTTTCTTCCCTCTTTTTTGTCTTTTACTTCACTTTTTTTTTTTTTATTGGTTGACAGCTCATTTTATGGTTGGACAGCTCATTAGAGCTGCACTGTTGCAGCTCTAATTAGAGTTCCGGAGCATGACCCACAAAAAACACTCACAATTGTACTCACAATTATGTAATATCATATATGTCAACTCTTGATTTGATATATTGACATGGGGCATAACTCCCTTATTCGATCCACCATGTTTGGTAAGTATTAAAAAAGTCATTCATTTTCTTAATATTTTTGTCTTTTGTTAAAAAAAAAAATGTTTGTATTAAAAAAATTTATTGCTCAAGCCCTTGTAATTTAGAAGGATACAAATTTTTTTTTTATAAAATTTAAAACAAAAAATGACAAAACAAAAATATAAACTTTTAATTGGAATTAATAATTTGAATACATGTATTTAATAACATAGTATGTTTAAACCAATAATATTATGAGGCGTGTGAATATTGATCATATTCTAATTGTAATAACATAATTTAAAGAAGAATTTAAATTTAAAATTTTATTTTATAATTCAATAAAAGATGCATAAATTAATGAATGAATATTGATCTTATTTCAATAATAGTAACATAATTTAAAAAAGAATCTAAATTTAAAATTTTATTTTAAGAATATAAAATTAATTTATAGATGTGGGTGTTAAAATCTAACCTCACAACTAATCGAATCTCATCTTCGAGATTCAAGAAACAAAGATGAAAAGCACGTGACAGGATATATAAGCTCAACAGCTGCACACAAGAAGACCACAAACCACGGTGGCTCGTCCATCCAGGACACTCCGACGATCGAGTCAATCAACTTATCTCTCAAATATAACCACTCAATCACAATAACTTATCTCTCAAAGATAACAACTCAATCACAATATTCTTTTTATAATGAATAGTGCCCTCGTCTCTTAAAAGTGGTACGTACTTTGTCCCTTATAAGGATATCACTTATCTATAACTTCTCTCATTTAGAAGAAAACAAACTCCCTCAAGAATCCATCCTTACCCAAACAGACATCCTTATCCAAACAGACAACCCAACTTCATCAGGACTCTTGTCCTTTATTCGCATATTTCGAATTTAGATATAATCATACCATATCTCGACAATCCAAGACCACCCACGTAGTATCTCGGCTAACCACCTAAGCCACGTAAATAACCCAAAAATATGTCCCCACAAGAAACCAATCATATTGTAACACATATTAATAAAAATTAAGCAAAATCAAAAAAATAAGAAAAATGAATTATAACTTTCAGCCTTAATAAAATGATCACATTTTGTAATTATAATAGTAGAGATAGATACTCTATCCACTTTTTGTTTAACTAAACCCCCCTCAACTATCGGAGTTTCTAATGGTAACACATGTTGTAAGCACTAATGATTTAGGTAAATTTGACACATGCAATGCCTTACAACTTGGATGGAGAAAGTAATATTCCCTCATTATTTAATGAAATACACATAGTTTTTTTTTTTTTTTTTGCTGAAAGTGGGGGTTTTGCCGACGAAAATCCATTTTAGTCGCCCAAAGTAGTGGTTTTGGCGACGAAATTTCTGGATAGTCGCCAAAAGTCCTGATTTTTAATTGAGAACTTGTTTTTTAGCGACAAATAAGTAATTAGTAGCCCAAAATAATACAATTAGCGACTAAAAAATGGTTTTAGTCGCCAAAAGTCGCATACTTTTTTTTTTAGCAAATAATTTATTTTTTTACAAAAATTATATTGAATTAAAAAAATTATATTTATAAATATTATTTTGTATTAATTGCGGTTAATATAGTATATAAATAATATATATTGCATATATGATCATAAGATGATATAGTGGCAGAGTGGAGGGAGTGTTGTGCCAAAGGGTTTGGCGTGGGTTGGCGCAAGTTCGAAACCTGCTAGCAGCGGAGGCAAAAAAAATTTTTTCCTGAAAACACTTTCAGCGACTAAAGTGAATGGTCGCCAAAGGTATAAATAATAAAATAAAAAATGAACTATTGGCGACTAAACTGTTAGTCGCCAAAGGTATAAATAATAAAATAAAAATGACTATTGGCGACGAAATCTTTAGTCGCTGAAGACATATATATTGGCGACTAACAGTATTTTAGTCGCCAAAGGCATCCGCGACGATTTATTGGCGACAACACGGGCGACTAAACTTTTTAGTCGGGAAAAGTGAAATTTTGACATTTGGCGACTAAAATGGGACCTTTGGCGACTAAAAATTTAGTCGCCAAAGGTGTTTTTTTTTGTAGTGCAATCATATTGTGACACATATTAATAAAAATTAAACAAAATCAAAAAAATAAGAAAAATAAATTATAACTTTCAGCCTTAATAAAATGATCACATTTTGTAATTATAATAGTAGAGATAGATACTCTATCCACTTCTTGTTTAACTAAACCCCCCTCAACTATC